AAATCGCGCTAAATGTCAAAATCAGATGTCATATTCATCGTCAGGACCATTTTGAAGCCAACAAGTGGCCGCCAACCTTGATTGCAAAATTTAGTCGCCGCGGGGATCGAACCATCAAGAGTATCATTCACCACTTTTTTGGTACTACTAAAACCGTTCAGCGAAAACGAAACATGGTTTTGTGGTCCATACATGCGTCCCTACATGCAAGAACCGTTTCAAAAAGCGCAGCTTGCCCTGAAAGATCCTCATGAAGTCTTAGTGGCTCGGTCGACTGGAATATCTTCCGTGGCTCGAAGGAGGGAGCCCTTGTGGCTCAACGTAGGCATGGGATTGCACACTGCACATGGTTGTTGATCTCGGCTCAGGGACCCCGGTCTCGCCAACATAATTCGCCTGCAGTTATCCCGTGATCCTTGTCATTCGAATATTTATTGTTGATTTTTTCTGATCTTAACCCATTGGCGACAATGCGATTTTTCGCGTGTCTGCCACGTGGGACCACGCCTTTTTGATATTTTCGAAAAATGCGTCATAATGCAGCAAACCACCGGCACCAAAAATATTGAATCTCAAAGCAGAAACTGTTGAGACTTTGCACGTCTCAAATTGTTGCCGATCGCTGCCAAAATGAGCGTAAATCTTTCGTTTTGTCCAAGGTGGGTTTCGCAGCGAGCCGGAAACACTTCAATTTTCTATTCTAAAATCCGTAAATTGGGTCGGATCCAGATCTTTTTTGTGAAAAGTTGTATCACTACTCTAGCTAATGGAAAACAAAAAGCCAGCCTTATACATTCGAAAATAGCAAGCTTTCCCTTGAAAAATCACTTTCAAGATCCCCTTATGTGTAAAACATCAATTAGGAAAGATATGCAAGGACCATGATCTTCGTAAGCCTTCCTGATTAATATGCCACTAAAATGATTTTGGAAATCTCGCGCAGAAGAATTATTTCTATGCTGCGTCCCCACATCGAGCCGCAATGTCGCCAATGGGTTAATAAACCTCGCTTTCTACTTGCCACGAGCTCAGTCAACAAGGGTTACTTTCACGTCGCAGCACACGAATCCGTCCATTTACTACATGGGGGCCGAACCAACTGCGACGATACGAGTAGCCAAAAACTGAGCAAGAGAGACAAGTGCAGTTCCAAAGTCGACTGAGCCAAAGCGAAAAGCAGGGCTGGGAAGCCTGTCTGCAAATCCTAGTGAGGCCTCAGCAGAGAGCAAACGAGGTTCCTGGAAAGTCAAGAATCTCGAATTCTGCAAAGGTGGATAGTGCAAAGGCGTATGGACAAGGAGTATTGAAGAAGTAAGAAAATAATAGAGTCAACGTCAAGGCGGAAAGCTCTTGCTCCTATCGCTGGAAAAAAAGAAGTCGTGGAAACTCTTAGTCAAAGAGAGGATTGACGATTGGAGGGAATATGAAAGAGCTATGGAGCAAGGTGGCGAAACATTGGCAAACATTCGCTACATGTTTGGAGAAGATATGCGCTCTACGTTAGAGAGAAGCTACCTTTCACTACCATTTTTACCTTTAATGCCTCTAGGAGTTGTGTAGATATACAGTAGCGCTCAAAAATCTTCTGTGGAATACAGTTGAGTATTTGATACATTTTAGAGGCGAAGCTTCTTCACTAAAAAGTGTGTTAGCGTTGATGGGAGAAAGAATTTAGGAAGAAGAAATCATTTCACTTGAAATTCTCGAGTATGACCAAATTCTATGTAAACTTCAATTTGTTGTATGAGGTACTTTCCAATAGAACAATCAACTGCATGATAAAAAACATTTAAAGCTTCGTATAATGTATTTTCAAAACGGCCGACTTCATCTGTTTTCATCTTCACCCATCAGATAATCACAGGTTGCGAAACTGGGTTGAAAGCAGACGTATTGCATTAGATTCTGGAACGGTGTTGAAGATAGGTGTAATCGCAGCTCCACCCGTGAAGGAGTGTATTCTTCTACCCAGCATGCTGTCTAATGGGGGAAACCAATTTCGGCCACATGTTCTGAGGTAATCGGAACACTATGAAAATGAAGGAGGCTGAAGCTGGTTAACAAAAAAAGAGTCAGGACGATATTGGAGAGGAACTCGTCTAATTTGAGGCAAAATCAGTAAGGAAAAGATCGTCCCGAAATAGATTAGACGGTTGGGAATTAATTTGATTTCCACACTCAGACCTGAAGAAGTTTTACGAATTCCAAAAGATTATCTTATATACTTATGAAACGCCGTGTTTTTTTTAATGAAGTTCTTGGTTTTTTTTTTGTTTTCAGGTGTAGTCTGCTTACAGTAGCGATCAAAGTTTTTTGATGAAATACTTCTTTCAACTGTAACGGTTTTCTGTTGAATTAAATCAGTTCACTTTTTGACACTCTTCAGAGGCAAACCTTCTCCAGTTATTTTACTTAGTTATTAACAAGTTATTATTTTTCGACTGGGAGAAAGAAATGAGGAAGAATAAACCTTTTCACTAAATTCTCGAGTACTATCAAACTCCAAGTAAGTTTTGATTTATTGTATAAGGCTTACCAACTCAACACAAACTACCTGATAGAAAACGTCAACAAATTCAATCCATTCTTGATAATCTTTTGGAATGTTAAAACTTCTTCAGGTCTGAGTGTGGAATCAATTAATGTTCCCACTGTCTAATCTCTTCGGGACGATCTCCTCAACTGTTTCCTCAAATTAGACGAGTTCCTCTTCCATATTCCTGACTCTTTTTTTGTTAAAAGCTTCCTACCTTCTTTCATAGTGTTCCGATTACGCTCAGAACATGTGGCCGAATTGGTTCCTCCATTAGAAGCATGCTGCTAGAGAAACACTCCTTCACGGTGGAGCTGCGACTTACACCTAGCTCAACACCTTCCAGAAATCTAAATGCCATACTTCTGCTTTCACCAGATTCGCAAACCCTGTGATATCTGATGTAAGATTGAACAGATGAGTCGGCGTTGAAATAGATTTACGCTTTAAATGTTTTTTATCATGCAGTTGATTGTTCTATTGGAAAGTACCTCATACAACAAATTGAAGTTTACATAGAATTTGGTCATACTCGAGAATTTCTAGTGAAATGATTTCTTCTTCTAAATTCTTTCTCCATCAACGCTAATACACTTGTTAGTGAAGAAGCTTCGCCTCTAAAACGTATCAAAAACTCAACTGTATTCCACAGAAGATTTTTGAGCGCTACTGTATATCTACACAACTCCTAGAGGCATCAAAGGTAAAAATTCGGAGCGAAAGGGTATTTGTCTCTTCACGTAGAGCGCATATCTTCAACATGTAGCGAATGTTTGCCAATGTTTCGCCACCTTGCTCCATAGCTCTTTCATATTCCCTCCAATCGTCAATCCTCTCTTTGACTAAGAGTTTCCACGACTTCTTTTTTTCCAGCGATAGGAGCAGGAGCTTTCCGCCTTGACGTTGACTCTATTATTTTCTTACTTCTTCAATACTCCTTGTCCATACGCCTTTGCACTATCCACCTTTGCAGAATTCGAGATTCTTGACTTTCCAGGAACCTCGTTTGCTCTCTGCTGGGCCTCACTAGGATTTGCAGACAGGCTTCCCAGCCCTGCTTTTCGCTTTGGCTCAGTCGACTTTGGAACTGCACTTGTCTCTCTTGCTCAGTTTTTGGCTACTCGTATCGTCGCAGTTGGTTCGGCCCCCATGTAGTGTATGGACGGATTCGTGTGCTGCGACGTGAAAGTAACCCTTGTTGACTGAGCTCGTGGCAAGTAGAAAGCGAGGTTTATTAACCCATTGGCGACATTGCGGCTCGATGTGGGGACGCAGCATAGAGATAATTCTTCTGCGCAAGATTTCCAAAATCATTTTAGTGGCATATTAATCAGGAAGGCTTACGTAATCATGGTCCTTGCATATCTTTCCTAATTGATGTTTCACATAAGGGGATCTTGAAAGTGATTTTTCAAGGGAAACCTTGCTGTTTCGAATGTATAAGGCTGGCTTTTTGTTTTCCATTGGCTAGAGTAGTGATACAACTTTTCACAGAAAAGAGATCTGGATCCGACCCAATTTAGGGATTTTAGAATAGCATACAAAATTGAAGTGTTTCCGGCTCGTTGCGAAAACCAACTTGGACAAAACGAAAGATTTACGCTCATTCTCGCAGCGATTCGCAACAATTTGCGACGTGGAAAGTCTCAACAGTTTCTGCTTTGAGATTCAATATTTTTGGTGCCGGTAGTTTGCTGCATTATGACGCATTTTTCGAAAATATTGAAAAAGGCGTGTCCCACGTGGCCAGACACGCGAAAAATCGCATTGTCGCCAATGGGTTAAGATCAGAAAAAATTAACAATAAATATTCGAATGATAAGGATCACGGGATTATTGCAGGCCCTCGTAATTGACATGGACCGCCGCTAATTGGCTCCCCTTCCGGGTCAATAATGATCCCTCACGAGCGAACAGACTACCGCTCCTCCACAAGTTTACCAGTGTTCAGACTAGCTGATTATAGCTGCATCTCCTTGAACGTCCGGGCACTGTCCCTGCTCTCGACAGCAGCCTTAGCAGTTTTGGATTGTTTGGCGTTTCCCGCGAAGCATTACGCCATACGTTCAAAGCATGTTTTGAGGATTATTGTTTTCCTATGACGGCTAATTATGTTAAGTACTTAAATGAACATTCCCCCACGGCACATTAAAAATCACTGGATTACAAGCCACTTTAATCAGAAGCTTTATCGAGTCGTTTAGCCCGTTTGGGCGTAGGACGAGATTATGCACGACATGTGAACAACAATCCATTCTCTGATCGCGACTGAATAAGTGAGAAAGGCTTTATGAGAGCCGAAACATGCGTCCGTTCCGGGATAATCCACAGAAATACATACTTGAGACTTGAGCAAGGTGATTTCGTCCACATGATGTATATGGTCATGAACGCGTACACATAACAAGACCAACAGAACGAAATGAAGGAGACTCGACTTAGTTCGTATTATTACTTTGCTTATTAGCTACAGATTGATGGTGTTCACAATGATAACGTGGTAGTCAAGCACGGCTCGCATCGCTTCCATGAACTCTCCGCCATCGGTCACCGTGAAACCAGGTCGGACTTTCTGACCCACATCAAGGACCACGTTGAACTTGTCGCGTGCCACACTCGGAATACATCTGCAAAATCTGTAAATCGATCAGTGTTTGAAGAATTTTCAAATTCAAGAATTTTTCAGAGTTGAGGTACTGGCAGTCTTCGTTGGTTAAGGCTTTTGCCACGAAGTCATCGACCTTAACGGGTGTTTCCGTGCCACAATAGGAGGCCAGCCATGTCTACACGCTTTAATATCTATTTTATCTTGTTATTTATCTTTTATGTCACATATGTCTGATTCCGAATAGTTATCCCTAGACGTGCAGCGCTCAGACGCGTGTACGTGGATTGCTGAGGATCTTGGACGCAGAGAACGTACGATTAAAAGCTCTGCAAGCAGATGGGAGACTTGCGTAACCTAGTTTCAACACAGCGCCCCCACCCCTTGAGACTTGACCTACGCACGTCCAGTTAAAGGCGGAATTCAAAAGCCACCACTCCTAAATTAACTTAGGGATGGTGAGTGTTACGAGAAAGAAGGAAAAACCATGGGGGGAATATGGCCAAGATCAGGAATGGGAGCGCTTCCCTTGCCCCGTGATTTGACATAGATGCCACTTCATCGCTGTGACCGCGTACGACTCCTCTCTCTGTATTAACGTATAGACCAGCAGCGCGTGATTAGATGGTCGGTGGGGGGTCCCGTGCCCGCCAACATCACAGTGAGCCATGCTAGGTCGCCGAGTCAAATCTTCCGGTGCCGATTGCGCGTCACTTCGCACCCTCAGGAGGTCCGCCAGTCTTTCAACTACATGAATTACTCCTTCTTCGAACCTTCCATTTTTATCGTGAATCCTCCTTTGAATTAGCGATAGATGGGTGGGTTTATTTGGGAAGTGGGGATGCTGAGTAATGCCCAGTGGCGAAAAAAGCAAAGAGATCCGTCAAAAACTGAGTCAAAAAACGGTGCTGTTGCCACTAGCGTAAACGCCTCGTTCTGCATCTTTGATAAAAAGGCGGTGGCACCCAATCAGAGAGCAAGTGGTGGCACTAAGTTGCCTAGAGGTACGGGCCCAGTCTGTTCTGCTAAACCGCTAGGTTTAGGACTCGCAGCACCTCCGACTCCCTGTACAGCAGGCGCGTATTTCCTTATTCAACATCCAATATTTCAAGTCACCTGCCTTCAAAAAGCACTGTAAATGAATATAAGTCAAAATAACCTCTTCACGTCGAGTGCCCAGTAGACTGCTTCTGGTGATTTGCCCCAGATTTTCGTGGAACATTTGCAGGTTTCTTGCTCCTTAAGTAGGTAATAAAGGAAGTTTGCTTAAAACGAAAGACATCTGGCTTTTGAGAAAAAAAAGTTGAGGAACATACCTCGAACCAGAGAACCCTGATCACTTCAATAGGTATTGACTTGATCTTTTTCGAAGGAAAATGGTAGTTTTTGATCTGAACGGAGCATTCATTCACAGCGACAAATTCGTCCTCATATAATAAAGCCATCGGTTTCCCACTGAAATTTGGTTAGAAATTTAGAGTTAATTGATAACTGGAACGACGACTGCTATCGCAGCGGACGGAAACACAAAGAATGGAGAGAAAAGAGAAACGCTCATGGCGTGATTGTCGGAATTGATTGTACGGTAGAAATCTTAAAGGAAATCTTCACGGAAAAAGCTCCCCCTCATTACCACAGAAAACGATACCTTAAAGGAATCTTCCACGGAAAGAGTGATCATTTTGTCTTGTGTGTAGGATTAGTATTATCGAAACTAACGCTTATGTTCCGTTCTTTTTGCTATGCTCATGAGGCTAGGGGCCTAAGGGGTATCGTTTTTCTGTGGTAATGGAGGCGGAGCTTTTTCCGTGGAAGATTCCTTTAAGGTTAATTTGGGATTTTGAAATGCTAGCTTGATTCGTATTTTGCAACCCTCTTCTAGGACTAGCTCCCATCAGGGACCCTCTCATAGTGCGATCATGATCGTTGAACCTCCACATTTTTCCTTGTTAGCACACGTTCTTATGATTTTCCTCGCTCTCTCTTGTGATGTTTTTTTTTGCCTCTTTCGTTAGAATATTGCTTTTAGGGATGTTCTTGAGGTGAGAATGGACCAGAGGGAGGTTCTTATGTTTTGTGATGAACCTCGTGTTTTTTTGGGTGTTAACGGATATTACATATGAGATTCTACATCGCGTCCCTCCCCCTCTTCAGAATATTTCTCGCCTCGGCATTATTCTGATTGTGAGGACATTCTATATTAAGGCCCTGCAGGTACCCGTGCACGACGGAGGTGTTTTTAGCGTGAATTTGCTAGATCTCTCGTACGGCGGAAATTATAGCGGGGTACTGAAACTATCGCATCAAGAGGGTAAGTTGGCTAAGCACAAGCTCGTGAGTAGGGGCTTAGACGAATGTGTTATTGAGAAGCTCAAATGAAGCTGAAATGAGCGTACAATTTCGAAATGATGAAAGATCTAACGAAGAGTTTGAATGCAGATCATTCTAAGCTATTCATAGCGTAATTAGGGGGTGGATAGCGAATAAATTACACCTGAGCGGGCCTTGTACGTAATCTACACCAGTGATTTTTCTTCCCCGTATAACGAGGTAGACAGATGTGAAACCACTTGGAAGAAACATACCTGGGAAAAATTGATCCAGTCCCGCCCCCATGCCACCTCGGATGTTATCAGTAGAGTCGTTGAATCCGTGACCACTTGGCACACTTCAACCTCACACCGAATTTTCCCCTAAATTCGTCAGTTGAGCAGGAGGGTGGCTGTGGTGGCTTGCGTTCCTATGCCGCTATTTTATTTTCTCACCTTTCCCCTCACTGCCACACTCAAAAACTCAAATATGACCCGTATGCTTTCTAAAACCTAAAAAGAGCCATCCTTCGGCCAATACAAACACGACCATTGCCGGGCTCGATAGTGGTTCATACTGGTTGTAGAAGGGTTCGAGAGCAGCAGAGGTTCAAGCCACTTGAATGCACTCTTATGGGTGCTCATTCGAAGCTGTTAAAAAAGAGGATTTCCAAGTAAGGCAAGCTTGAGCACGTCCGCATTCAGTATTTACAAGCAAAATGAGATGAAAGTCACAACGAACGAACACACATGGCCCGAGCAAGTGCAAAGCCCTATTTGGTGTGACGCCTTGCGTGCGTAACTGCTGAAGATGGGACGAAAAAAATGTCAGGTATTTTTCTGCTACTGGAGCAACGGGCCGTCGAGGCTCGAAGAGCTTGTACAACTGCATCTAATAATCCCTCTACTTGGCTAGTACTTCGGCCCTGCCGCTTTCGTCAAACCTCGGAGATTTATAAATGAATGCGGCTTAACCTCCATATACCATATCAAGTTTCGAAACATCCATCCTAGACTGGTCGCATTACAGGTGGACGTTCACAGTCCACAGGCACTCGTAGGGCTCATTCTCAAGGCGGATGCTACGATAAACTGGGGAGTGGAAAGGAAATATGTAGGCCTACTAGAGGGGACGTCGGGCTTGCGACGAAATGAGAAAAGGATTGTGTCGCGAAAACTGACGTCGCAACCTGGGAAGCTTTAACCCTGCCGAACGCCTACTGTCGTGGCGAAGCTTATAAGTGGAAGGCTTGGATTATGGTTGGTTGAATGCTGATACCGTTATTGCCCTACTTCGCTCCTCGTTGTGGTAGCGCATTTCAGTTGGTAGGCTGCAATATCCTCTATGTAATACGTTACCAGTGTGAGGATGATGTTTGTTGGCACTATGGGGCTATTGCATACGGATTAGTACGTCCATTGAGCTCGCCTTGGTCAGTGTTCATTCAAGAGGAAATTAGGGATGTTAGAATGGTCCAATTTAGTGGGTCTTCCATCGTGCATCACCCACTTTTGAGATACTAACGTTTACTGCTAGTAAGAGTAAGTAAGACCATCGCTAATCTGGTTAATGGAGGATTCACGATAAGGTCGAAGGTCCGAGAAGGAGGAAACTTACCTGGTGGAAAGGCAGGCAGACCCTAAAAGTGCGGACCAACACGCAATTCGCAGCGAAGGATATGCCTCCGGCGATCTAGCATGGCCTTCCCGCGGCGCTATCGACGCGGCACGCCCACCGACTGGCTAACCACTCGCCGCAGGTCTCTAGCCGTTTAGCAGAGAGAGCGTTAGCGTTGAAGAGGGCAGCACCGATGAGAGTCGCATCAATGCGGAAATCAACGGGCAAGGAAGGGGTCCCATTTCTCGGCTGGCCGTTTTTCATGGTTTTTTCTTCATCCTGGCACCACTGACACCTCTATCTTGTTTCCAATGGATGCTCTCTAATAGTGAACTCCGTATTCAACAGTGGACGGCTTTTCCTTGACATGGGGCCGTGGCGGTTGAAGCCCACTTAGGTCAAGAAGAATCGAGAGCTCACTGGTAAGACGAGAACTTCACCATTACTATTCCAACATCATGGAGGGTGGAGATTTTTGATTTACTGTGTGCTGCAACTCGTGAGTAAGGACAGTCGAGAGAGGGGTGATATAAAGAAACGTTCGAAATAATTAGCAGAAAGTGTCAAAAAATTCCAATTAGGAAAATGTGGATAAAAATTGATGCCAATAAGAAGTTTCGGGTCTATTCCAGTTAGGGGGGCATCATGGTGCGGTGACTCCCAAAAAGCTACGGTAACTCTGAGCCAGGGGGAGTGTAGCCAGCCTAGGGGGGTGGGGGTGAGGGCAGTCACTTGACATGCGTGAGAAGCTGGAATGTTCGAGTTTACATTAGCTCGCCGAGAAATGCCCCCCTAACTGGAATAGACCCAATTTTTTATGACTTAGAAGTGAGTTAAAAGCTTAAGACGGATCAAATTCATCTCGAACGAGTACGTAATACGAGTGCAACGTACCCTTCCTTCAAAGAACAAGAAGAACTTCGGGGACAGACTTGCACGACAAGTGACGATGCCCTCCAAGTAAACCTGTCAGTAGTGGTTCATAGTGATAGCCGAATTTTGTTAAATGATGCGTTGTACTTAGGGTAAAATTCGTCGGACTACCGTCACGACTACGCACTGCCTATCTTGCGGTATTGCTCTCTTATTACGCCTACTGGGTTAGACCGCCATTCAATGGACGTGACGATCCTATCCCTCGCGGTTGTGGACGAATACGCCTCTGACGAACAGTCTTGTCGAACTCGTGTATCCGTATAAAATGAATATGAAAAAATAGAACCGACGAAAAGGGATCTTTGCTCTTCTTCACCATCTCTTGATAGCTTAATTAGAGCATTATCATGATAAGACTGCCGTTTTGCCAGTATATTTTGTTGTCGCTTCTCATGACTTGTGACATTTCTTTGGTCTATTCACGCGAATCACCCCCTCTAGTGTTACTATTAGGTTGTCGGAAAAGTTTTTGGCCATTTGTCCATTTTTTCTAATTTACTTTTCTTCTTCAGCTTAGTGAGCAATTTATAAATATATGCCCCACTTTGAACCGCCAACCACATATTGCCTTTTAGCAGGTAACTCCTGGATGGCGTTTGTCTGGAAATACTGAGCTTTTAAAGCAAAAACCTGGAAAAGTCCTCTTCGAGTAGGTTCGGATCATTGAGCTTTGCCTCTTTAGGATGATTGGAGAGCAATGGAAGGAGATGGTAATCTGTTAGAGCCGGGCCTGCTGAACGCAAAAGGTGGGACAGAGTGTCACATAACGGGCTTGGAGACTTTTGCTGAACCTTCTTCTCAATTTACTGACAAGCGTTGACTGGGTAAAGTGAACTTTTTTCGATGTTTCAAGAGCCAGGTGCGCCGCGAACGGTCAACTGAACGAGGGCGCGTTTGAAGCTTTCACAATTGTCTGAAGTTTACCTCCCAATGTGCGGAGTGCTGGAATCAGCCGCTGGAAGATTCTTGGATCTACCCGTCTGGGCCACTGGCGCCTTCCGACTGCAGTTTACGTGAGGAACCCACTTCTGATTATTACCAACAAGAAGTAGTCGGGTCAAACAAGAGACAGACGATAAATCAAAATGTTCATGCAAAATCTGAAGGCCTCTGACGGCGGTCGTCACCAATGTCACGAAACCTCCTTTTTCCATATTTCTCGCCTTTTGAGAAGATATTGAGGAACAGCTATTGTGTTCTGAAAACTTCGAAAAAGCTGCGTCAGTTCCCGAGCATTGCCCGGAGACTGTTTCCAAACAGCTCCAGAAGACACAGGAGGTTCAGGCGAATAGAGAAATTTGTGCATGTTCTTGAACTTGCGGACGATTTGGCAGATTAAATGTTCTACATATCCGTGAAGACAATCTGGAGTCCCCATCTGAACATGTGACAAGACGTCGGAGCTCTTGCCGACCCATCGCTGTCAGGTTGGCGCGTTTCTGGAGTTATCAGAAGCATGGGCAGACAAATACACTGGTAGTGGCCAAAAAGCTTAAGGATCGAGACGGGATGAAGTAATTCATAACCATTTAAAGCTTTTGTGCTTTGTGGACCGGTTAGACGGTTCCTGTTATTTGGCGTT